GCTGAGTCTGGAAACAACAGCAATGGGATTCACAGCAGGAGGGAAATGAGAGCTGGATCTGGAAAAGCAAGTAGGGCTTAGTGAAATTTGTTTCAGGCAAAGGAAACAGCAAATGTTATAGGTACAAAAGTATCAAAGAATATCATGGGTTCAGGGAAGCTTGAGCATTGGGGAAATTTAGGAAGAAAGGAGTAGTAAATATAGCTGGAAGGTAAGTTTGGATAAGAACTGTTGAGGATCTTGTGCACTGCGCCAAAGAGTCAGGATGTTATCATCTGTGCTATTCAAAAACAAAAATGTTTCCAAGTATAAGAACAATAGCGTTGTGTAGAATTATGTTTCTGAAAGACAATTCTGGTAGTATTGCAAAAAGTGGAATGAGGGAGAAACAGACTTTAGCAGCTAAGAAAAAGAATTAATAGGACTTGATAAGTAAAGGGGTATACAAGAATCAAAGATGATGTTGAGCATGATACTGAAGTTTTTAATTAGAGTTACTATGTAGACCACGTTATTCATTAGGATAATGAATACAGGAAAAAAAAAAAGTTTGGAGAAGATGTAAGGGAAAACTGTGGAAGATTTTTGAACTAGGAAGAAAAAAATTACTAGATATCCTTTCAATTTCTGGAGCATTAAGGATTATCTATTCCTGCATGAGGAGTGCACCTTTGTTTGTCTTTGACTAACCTATTTTAACTCTGTAGAGACAGAAGTAACCTGTAGAAAACTGGAAATAATGCAAATGACTTCTATTCACAGAAAGACAAATTATGTCCTATGGAATGCAACAGATTATTGCTTGGTAGGTATTTTTCAGTTTTATAGACATTTCAGCATTCCCTATCTGATTACAAATGTTGGTACTTTTTCAACTAGTTTTAGTATCTTCCTGATTTCCTCATGGATTAATATGTTAAATAATCTCTGACATATGTGCATTCTGTATTTGTGAGAGGCATAATTATATCTTCTTTTAAAGTTGATGCTTTCACAAAGATAACAAGATTGATTTTGGACATGTTTAATTGTGGGCACCTGTGCTACAGAGAGGCAGTTGAAAATATGAGCCTGGAGAACATGCAGATTTTAGAGTTGTCAGGTTAAAAGTAGTGGCTTAGGTCAAGGATACAGTGAGTTTCATCAGGAGAAGGTTAGAAAATGAAAAAGAAAAGAGTACACAAAGGAGAACTCAACAGAAAAGCAATGCCTAAGGGGAAGGTAGTGGAAACAACTGAAAAGAAATGGCAACGACAGGACAAACATGAAGATTACATCAAGGAAGTCAGGGAAGAACACCTTCAAGAACTAAATGGTCAAAGATATCACATGACACCAAGATCCAGGAGGAAAAAGAAATGAAGAGCAGTCAATCTAATCAGATCTCGTGAGTAGAGTGTCACTGTTCACCTTAACAAGAACAGTTCCAACACATGTGCTAGTGCACATGCCAGTCTATGATAGCTTGAATGAAAGGGAGGTGAGAAAGTAAAGACAGTGAACAGCAAAGGAAAAATGTGAGTGTAGCTTTAAAAGAAGCAAAATGATGAGAAAGGAGTGGGAAATGAACCAACTAGGAGATTTTCAAGTTGTGAAAGAGGAATTATGGAATTCCAGAAGAAGACTGTAAGTAAAATGAGTTCAGTCAAGAATATCATTTTTCGTCCTCCCCAAAGCATTCTAAAAATTGCTCCCAGTTTTCTTCCTAAAACAAACATAAGATTGTGTCATTTGTCCACTTTAAAACTTCTGGTAACTATTCAGTACATAAGTTCAAATTCCTGAACACAACTTTAAGGAGTTATTCATCATTTGATCCCAAACGATGTTCCAGTATCCTGCAACATTCTCCCTCTCATGTTACTTCACCAGCTCCCAACCTAGAAATAGCAGATCCCCTAGACTATGTTAAGGGTCTTTGCACTCTTGTGAATATTGCAAAATGTTCCATTTACCTACGATAAATCTGCACATGCTAAATTAAAATGTCTAGTGCTCAGTTTCTGGCTAGTATTACATCAAGTCAGTAGTTTTCAGGTTGATCAAGAACTCTGATTGGTTGTTGATTACATCATTATGTCAGCCAGTCATGGCACCAGAATCAAACACAGCTGGTATGTAATCACCCTTGGCCATAAGTAGGGAATAACAGCTGAAATTAAGGAACCAGTAAAAAATAACATTTGTGGGTTCACAGCAGAAACAGTAAATGTGGTACATATGCTATCACATCCTTTTTCGGGGGCCATGGGAACTATTACTATTAAACATGTTACTCTTTCCCACTAAACCCAGAAAAGGTCTCAAAACTCTTAAAAGGTAAGAGTTTTGTTCCAGGTAATCATGACCAATCAGGGTTGGCACATGAAATGAAAACTATATGCCATCTGTGGTCTATAAATTCACTTAATTTGGCTGTTTATCAGCAACACAACTACAATAGAGATTTACATAATTTTAGAGTTTGGTGCATGTGCCAGTAATCCCAGCTCTTTGAGAGGCAGGAGGACTGCTTGAGCACAGGATTGCAAGACCAGCCTGGGCAACATAGTGAGACTTTGTCTCAAAAAAGAAAACAAATTATATAATTTTTAAATATTATTATGATTATTCAATTATTATGAATGACTGATTAAATACAACCTGGAATATGTTGAAAAATAATAGTAATAAATGCAGTTCATTTTTTCCCAAAACAGAGTCCCTGGGAAAAAATATGATAAAACTGATCCTTGGAGAAAATGCTCATTACTATAATACCTCATGAAATGACATCACATTTCTGGAACAGCCTTGCACACTCATGACTCTCTTTCTGTGGATCAAGTTTCCCCTCTACCAGAAATGTCCTTTCACCATCAGCCTTGGTGACTTTGTTCCTGATCAGCTCAAAGAGTACATTCTTCTCTATCCAAGACATAATCACTTCCTCTCAGCACAGCACTATAATCTGCACATACTTGTATTACATAACTTAAATAAATAACTGAATAAACATCTGTCTCCCTTGTTTATTAAAAACTTAAAGTCAGAAACTGCACCTTTTCCTTTGTTACAGTCTCCTCCAAGTGCCTGTGTCAGTCCCGGGTAAAGGAAAAGTTGAGTAAGAGAATATAAGGAATGAACAATAAACAGAAATGTAACAGGGCAGGGAGTTCAGAATCCTTTTTTGCTAAATTCTTCTAAGTGCTAAAGCCCTGCCACATCAGACTGATAAGAGGAAAGTGAAGTGTTCTTATAATGCTTTCCTTCCAAGACAAGTGTGGAGTAGAATGCCCTTTCTACACATCCCTTCAACTTAGCGAATAACCTTTACTTTCATGCCGGCAATATTCCTAGACCTTTTCTAGGCTCTTTTCTTGTGATCTTGCAAAATGCTGTCAAATTCTACACTTTTGCATTTTTTACCCATAGTTTTTCTAAGTGCATCCTTTCCAGTTCTCTCATCTGCTTATTTTTATGCCATTTCTCATATTTCATGTATTATCCAATTTTTATCTACATCCAAAAATTATTGTTCTCACTTAAAAACCCTCAGAACATTAAAAGTGTAATTCTTCTCACATGCAGGAATTTTTCACTCATAACCATCCAATTTACTTATCCATACCACTCTTTAAAATTGCAATTAATTTGAGTGAAATGGCAAAGGGTGTTGCACATGCCAATGTCAAAATGCCAGAAATCCACTTTCAATTTCCATTCTATCTGAATGCCTACAGAAAAGAGTTTTTATAATATTAATGATCTGATGTGCCAGACACTGTGCTAGATGCTATGGATATACACACAAAAAACAAGGAACATGGTTTAGTGGGAAACAGAGAGCTACTCGGTATTTATAATGCAGTGTGATAAGTGCTATAGCCACTTTCAAAATATGTAAGTGGGACCACATTATTCTAACTCATGAGATCCAATGTTGACACAGAGGGTAAGTGTCCACTTGTTTAACTTCCAAAGTCCATAAGCTCCCTAAATCCCCAAAAGTCAAACACACTAAATACTATTGCCTGGTCTTAGTTTACAAAGCAGTGTGTGAAATCACAATGGTTTGAAGTTTTGCTGGAACTGTAATTTATTTGGGAATTTGAACTAAGCATGACTTGGTGAAAGCGTCGGCCAGTGCCTTTGCCTTCCATTATTACCCATACTTCTTTTTTTTTTTGGTTTTCCTCATTTTCTTCACGCACAGGTAAAATCTTTTTTGCTAAAACAGTAATAACCAAATGTCGTATCTTCTTGTCTTATCAACTGCATTTAAGTTATGTTAGTAACTGTATTTATTTATTTTTTAACAACCACCATCTAAAACAACTCTCTCTCAAAAGGGCATTTATTTGACCAAAACAACCTCAGAATCTTAAATCCACTGATGTTTTACATAATTATAGTTTCCATTTTGGCAATGTATTTATTATCAACATTCAGAGACAGGCTTCTGCATCCTGTTTTTATTCCAGACCCACTGGAACTAACTTATCCCACTATTCTATCTGACCTGTTCTTACCAAACACCACCTGGACCTCCTGCCCCTCACAAACCCTTTTTACAGCCCAAGGACACAATCCAAGCAAAACAGCCACTACATCTCCATTGCCTCAATGGGATAATATGGAAGGCAGAAGCCCTCCAAATTGGATGACCTCAGTTCATTAAAACTTTGCATTACCTAAAAAAGATATTCTTTGGCAACTTCCTCACAATTCTCCATTATAACAGAAATTAAGGCAGACCACCCTGTAATAATTGTTCCCACGTATAGCAAGTCAAAGTCCTTTCCTTATTCCAAGAGACAGCATCTTCAAGGAGGTAAATGGTTCTTGAAGGTGCTCCACTTGGAAGATGAACACATGTTCATCTCTATAAATTTAAAATGGAAGTTTTCAAAGAGTACTGCTAGGTCTGATTTTCAAGGGTCCAAAATATCTCCAGACATCCCTTTTGTCTCATAGATAATTTCCAGAGTAAGACAGAGGGAGTTCTGGGAGAGCTACAGAACACTCCCCTCATTCCCTCCTCCATCACTACAACTCCATTTCCACTCCCCTGTTCCAAGATATTTGTAGCAACCTGTCAGAGTCAAGAGTACAAGTACTACTTACTCCAGACATACTGGTCTTTAACTGCCCTAAAGTTCCTTGTTCTTGAGTGGATCACTTATTTTGTCTAGCTTTTCATTAGCTGACAACCAGTGGTAAACCTTAGGCGTAGAAACCTTTGGAGGCAACCATACAGATCCATCAGATCAGTGCCCCAAATCTGTCTTTCCTGGTGTCCCTCCCAGCAGGAATTTCTCCACCGTCACTATTTCTACCGTCTAACCTTGGCACTTGTTTTCAAAGTTCTTCCAACATGCTCACCATTCTCATGCCAAACCTACTCATCTCCAATCCTACAAAGCCCAGCAGAAGGCAACAGCTGGCAGTGTTTCTGTTGCCCTCCCTTTTGGAAGTTCTCCATCCGTCCAGGGATGCCTTATGCACCAGCAGGGCTTCTGGCTGACTACAAAGAACAGAGGTTGGAGCTTCATATGCTGAAGTGCCCTGGATGGAGAGTTCTTTCCTATTTTTTCTGGAGTCTTTTTTTCCCATCACTCTTTACCCTAAATAATAGGCAACAAAACCTCTGGCCTCAACACTTTCCCAGTTTCGCAGCCATCCCTCAGCTAATTGCCAACGAAAATTACAACCTCACTAATGCTAGTGAGAATTTAATGAACTAGGTAAATTAAATTTTACCTAGTTCAATTTACCTAGTTTACCTAGTTCAGGGCCCCTCCACCACTCATTTTATGACTCCAAATTATCCAAAATGATGTGGAAGGCATAAGTGAAGTTGTTAGTTCCTTGACTATTTTCAGCTCTGGAAAGAAAATCTGGAGAAACAGTCCACAGTTAAATTATATCCACTCAAAGTACAGTTATTAAAAGCAGCCTACATAGCAACATGGAAAATTTTGCCTTGGGAAAAAAAAAAGGCTAGAAAAATACTTTACAACTAAAATAGCTGATGCATCAGTTTAATGGGGTCCTTCTAGCAGTAATACCACCATCGAATACTATTTATACTTCGTGATGTCTTAGTTTTGTTTTGTTTTGTTTTGTTTTTGCAGTAGTAGGAGAAAACAGCATCGGGCTAAATCTCTCAGGCCCACAAGACTCAATAAAACCTCTGTCAAATGAAATATAAATACATATTCACAAAATATTCCCTACCAGAAATTCTCAGAGTTTTGTACCCAAGTCATGGGTCCTATGGGAAGGGGGGTGGTTCGCACACTTATCATTTAATCCCCACTATAACCCTGAGAGGAGGTATCATGGCCTTAATTTTGCATGTGAAGAAACAGCTATTCCAACATATTAAGTCACTATCCAAGGTTATACAGGGGTGTCACAGCAAAGAGTCACATCCGGCCTTTTGACTGGTTCACAGTTCTTCTCAGTGTTTTCTTAGTTCCTTAAACGCAAGCTAAGTGTCACCATTAACACTATTTCCAGAAACCAAATTTCTGTCATATCAAACTGATGGGATCACAGTCATCACCGGATATTCGAGACCTTCCCTGTTGTGGGCTACCCCAGATCCTGGCATTAATAATCACTCTGCTTTTCGAATGTGAAATGCACGTTATTAAAATATTTTCACGAAATCGTAAGATGCCCAAAGCTTTGCATAACAATGACTATCACAAAAAGAAGGAGGAAGAGGCTAGCTGTGCCCACGAGACCCAGGGAGGCAAACTCTTTCACAGGGCCACGTGGGAAACGTGAGTATCTTAAAGGTCGCAGCGAAGGCTGCGCTCAGTTTCGGGGTCACAGAGGCCCATGCTCCGTGGGCCGTGCGCTTCCCGTGGCCGGTCTTCGAAGCCCCTCCGCGCCCGCAGGCCTCACCTTGAGCGTCTCATAGGCGGTTGCCACTAGCAAGAAAGCCTCCTCCGCGCTCTGCGGCGTCCGCCCGAGGCCCTCGTCGCCGGGCTCGGGCCGGTAGCGGTCGGGGTGGTAGCGCCGGGCCAGCTGGCGGTAGGCCCGCGCGATCTCCGCCTTGCCCGCCGAGCGGCTCACGCCCAGCACCTCGTAGCAGTCCAGAGTGCCGCAGTAGAGCCCCTCCACCAGGGCCCCCGCGGGCCGCACCAGCAGCATCGCCAGCAGCAGGGGCGCCAGCAGCACCCACCAGCGCTGGCCGGCAGCCCCGGCTCCCCGGCCCGGAGAGAGCGGCGGCGCCCCCATCCAGGCCTCGCGGGCAGCTCTGCCGCCCCAGCTACTCCACCACTTTGCCGCGCGCCCAGCTTGGCAGCCCAGCTCCACGTCAGCAGCGGGCGCCTCCGCGCAGGCGCACAGGGCGCGGCTACAGCAACCACTTCCTTCGCAACCCGTTGCTAGGAAGAAGGACGCCTCAGTCGCCAGGCCGCTTCCGGTGTGTCACTGAAAGCCTTCCCAGTACCAGCAGCCGGAGGATCTGTTTTTGGTGGGACCTAGGATACTCAGGCGGGGTGTGCGGAGCGCTTGACCTTCCACAGTGTCCGGCACACGCAGGCTTTTCGACATCATCACCTGACCTGCTGCAATAGGTAACTTAACTGGCTCGCTCGCACGCCATTATCGCATCCCGTATCGTCTAGAAGATTGCACGTAGGCCTTTAAAGCCAGTCACCAACCCCGGACGCCTTTCTCTCACCAACCCTATGCTGCCTTTCCAAAAGGAAGATGAACTTAGCAATGCTAGGCGCTGCCTGTATACTAGGGACCCTGAAAGTTCATGGCCATCTTAGTTAAGTTTTTCTCAGCCTCCACGCTATTGACATTTTAGACTAGGTAATTCCTTGCCTTGGAGGGGCTGCCCTTTACGTTGCAAGATGTTTAGCAGCATCCCTGGTCTCTCCGCACTAGATGCCAGTAGTGCCACCACCCCCAGTCATGACAATCAAAAATCTCTCCACACGAGTCTGTGCGTCCACCCTTGGCTTATGCGTTCCCGGGACAACCTGCTGGGCTGTGCCTGTTTCTCACCTCAGCCTACCCCCAGGCAGCCGAGAGCTTGGGAAGCTGAGCTCGCTCTGTTTAGTGCAGTTCCACTCTCCCGGTGGCCTCCCAAGTCCTGAGGGAGGATGCTGCCTGTCGTTTACGCCGAGAGGGGCTTGCCCCACCGGTGGCCTCGCTGCGGAGCCCTCTGTGCCTGATTCTGATGGGGTTTTTTCATTTTTTTTTTTTAAACAAAACTTCTACATTTCATTTTTGCATCTCTTCTCGAATATTAATTTCATTATGAAGACAAAAAAAAAACCCAAAAAAACTCTCTAGATACTGCCAACTACCTGCCGGGGGTCGAGTTGCCAGAAAAAAAAATACAGGATGCTCAGTTAAATTTGTTATTTTTGATTTTGTTTTCTTTTGCGAGACAGTCTCGCTTCGTTGCCTACGCTGGAGTGCAGTGGCGCGATCATGGCTCACTGCAGCCTCTGCTTTCCGGGCTCAAGTGATTCTCCCACGTCAGCCTCCCAAGTAGCTGGGACTACAGTCACTCACCACCACACACGGCTAATTTTTATTTTTTTAATAGAGACGAGAGTCTCGTTTTGTTGCCCAGGCTGGTCTCAAAATCCTGAGATCAAGTAATCCTTCCAAAGTGCTACGATTACAGGCGTGAGCCACTGTGCCTGGCCTATATTTGAATTTCAGATAATAATTTTTTAGTATAAGTATGTCCCAAATATTGCATGGGACTATATAGCAACATGAAAAACGTTGCCTCAAAAAATCTGTTTTTATCATTCACTTGGTAAATATTTATTGAATCTCTACTCTAAGCCAGGCACTGTTACTTAGGCACTGGGGACACAGTGCTGAGCAAAGTAAACAAGTTGCTCAACTTCAGAGGGCATATATTCTGATGGAGGATGACAGTAACAAATAAGTAAACTTTAAGATATCAACTCTTTTAGTAAAGTGAAATAGAATACTGATATATACCATTATATACTTATGCATATACATTATAACTTTGTATCTCTCTCACTGCATATGTATAATATATATCTCTTATTACATATATAATGTATATGCGTCTCACATAATATATATGTCTCTCTCATTACATATATATATGTGTCTGTTTTTCACCTCAGCCCACCAAATATTCCATGGGACTTTATAGCAACATGTACAGTTATATATGTAACGAGAGAGATACATATCATATATATATGTAATGAGATACCAAAATTATATATATAATAAGAGATAACATAATTTTTGTATCATTATATATGCTTATTTACATTTGTAGCTCTCTGATTATAAATATGCTTATATATACAATGAGAGAGATAAAATTAATGGAAACACATGAAATCTCCTACTCCAAAATTATTAGGGTCGGGGTCAATTATGAGCATCAGTTCCAGTAGGAGGTGACAGCTAAACTGACTTTGGAGGACGAATAGAGAATGGCTTGAAGGAAGTGAGTTAGAGAAGAGTGGGGATAAGGGAGTGTGAAATAAGTACCAAGAAGAAAAACGAGCCATGGGCAAGAAAAAAATAAATTAAGCTTTTCAAAAATGAGAGACAGCCTGTATGACTAGGAGAAGAGGTGAGGAGTGCAGGAGATGAAACCGGAGAAAGCCAAGTTACGAAGGGTCATTTTATCCCATGAGGAAGAAGTTGTTCCTTAAGAGCAATGGAAAGCCAATATGGGGTCTTTGAGCAAAAAGTGACACCTTCGGATTCACATTTCAGAACCATTACTCTGCCTGGTAAAATGAGTTGGGATGTATCAGTAAGACCATTAGGAGGCCGGGCGCGGTGGCTCA